ACCATACATGGGGACCAGGAGGAACTGGAAGGCCTGCCCTTGCTGGCCACAGAAGATGGCTGCCTGAATGCCCTCAGCATCCACCACCCAGTCTTCCACAACTCCTTTGCCCACCTCTTCCCCCGCCACCGCCACCGCTTCGCCAGCAAGCTAATTTCTGGCTTGACCCTGCCTCGCTTTGTGAAGGAGCTTGGCCTCCTGGAGGCCACACCACTCATCCAGGAGGCACTGGACCAGCTGAGCTGGACCACAGGGGGGCAGAAGTGGCTCAAGGAGCTGTGGCAGTTCTTCAGCGCAGTGGTCGACACACCCATGGAGGCCAAAAAGAAGTTGGAGGCAAACATCAAGTCATTCATGGCCCATCTCCAGGATGTGGAGGTGCTGCCTGTTCAAGGGGGTAAGACAGGCTCAAAGCACCTACTGCCACTCTCCTCCCTCCCCAGGGTTCTTTATGAGTGTGACACAGATGTGGCCAAGGTGCTGCACAAACTGGGCATCCCTGTGCTCCAGCAGTCCCTGCTGCCTTCTAGATTTGCCTACCAGTGCCTGAAGACCAGGGCGCTGCAGGCCACAGAGCCCAGGGCTGTGCTGGCCCAGCTGGCAGACACCAGAGCTGATCTCCACTGGAAGGACTTAAAAGAGTGGGATGTGACTGTCCTGCTGTACTTTGTGCAGGGAAAACTGGATTCATCGGCACTGGCACAGCTCCGGCTCCTGCCTCTCTTCCGGAAGTACGGTGGGAGGGACTATGTCTCTGTGGCACCCTACCACAAGGTGCTGTTGCTCAGAAGCCAGTTCCTAGAACTGCCCCCGGGTGCCCAAGCCCTGTACAGCCTGGAGAAGGGCATGTTGCTGCTGACAGCAGACAGGATCCACCAGGAGCTGGCCAAGGATTTGCAGTGGGAGCTCACAGATGACCGGCAGCTCTTCAGGAATGTGGTGCTGCCCCGGCTGTCCCAGCTCACAGCGCGAGAGCTCATGGAAGCTGTGCGCTTGTTCTTTGCCCTGCAACAGATCCGTGATGCTGAGTTCAAGGCAGATGTTGTGGCAGCTTTTCGGACTGTAGCCTTTATAAGCGATGCCCACGGTGAGCTGCGCCTGGCCTCCTACTTCTATGACAACACGCCCTCCTTCTGCACTCTGCAGCTCCAACACCGCTTTGTGCCTGAGGCTTTCTTTGTGGAGCTAGATTACAGCAGGGAAGATGTGAAGGACTTCCTGCTTCAGGCAGGTGTCCGCACCAGCCTCTCTGTGGAGGATTTTGTGGCACTGGCCCTGGGGATAGAGGACGAAGCCACTCAGGCTAGATGCCACACTGAAGACCTGCTGGCGCGACAGCAGGAGATGCTCAACAAGCTTGGCACCCTGTCGGACAATCCCTTGACAGAGGGTTTCCTGGGGCAAATTGCCTCAATCCACTTCTTGCCTCCACTGGACATCCCCACAAGCTTGAGGAACCTCCACCCACCTTTTGCAGCCTTCACTAAGCCTGTGGCCCTGAAAGGCAGCGTTTCTCACTGCCACGAAGATGTGGCTGAGCTCCTGTGGACATCAGCCACCATCCTGCCAAAGTCCTTAGCACTCGAGCAGAACCTCCTGGAGGCCATGGGAGTCCTTGTAGAGATACCCACCACCCTGGTGGTGGCCAACCTGGAGCAGGTGTGCAGGGCAGCCTGCCAGACACCACAGCAGGTGAGCACACGGGCCAAAGTGCTCCAGAAGGTGTACAGCTTCTTGCAGACCCATCTGGAGGAGGTGGACGCAGGGCACCTCGCTGAGCAGCCTGTGGTGCTGACCAAGTCAGGGGACATGGCCATGCCACGACAAGTGGTGACATCACTCCCGGACGAGGCTGACTTTTACCCCTATCTCCTCACACCTGACCCCCGCGTGGCTGTCTATGGAGACCTCCTGCAACACCTTGGGGTGGTCCTGCTCCCCACACTGACTCACTACAGCTGTGTCCTGGCCCAAATCCACCAGGAGAGCCATGTCAGTGGGACCCTCAATACTACCCAGAAGAAGACAGTCCTGCTGGCCACACGGCACTTCTTCCAGCTGCTGCGGGAGCCACAGCAGCCCCCCGATTTCTCCTCTGTGGCTGAGCTGTACCTGCTGAGCACTGCTGACTGCCTAGAGCCATCCCACACGATGTACTTCAACGACTGTGTGTCCTCAAGAACCTGCAGAGCCTTGGGGAAGAGCTTTGTGTTTATGGCTGAACTGCCAGGGACTGGGTGTAATGCTTGGTGGCTGCTGCAAATGCTACCACAGCGCCTGCGGCCGAGGGCACTCTCCGAGGTGACAGAGCAGCAGCTGGAGGAGGGCAGTCTGCGGCCATGTCGCTATGGTTCTCGCTGCCCTGGGCAGAGGCGTCTGCAGAACCTCCTGGTATCACCATGGTTTAGGATGGGGCTGGAGGCCCTGCTCCGGTGGCAGAGCTGCAGGGCTACGATGAGAATGGAGGGGGATGGCAGCTTTGCAGTGGAGCAGCTGAAAGTTCAGTGCTGCGAGGACATCCGCACTGTGCTGGTCCACCGTGGTGCAAAGGTGGCGGGCAGCTCCCAGCCACGGGTCATCCATGTGTGCCTTGCTAGTGGTGCCCAGCGGCTCCTTTACGTTCGGCACGCAGATATGGTGCTGGACCGGCACCAGCTGAGGATCCTGGAGACCCTCGCGAATGAGATCAACATCATCCTGGGTGGACATCTGGAGGCACCTGCCTTGTCAGTGCTGCGTGAAATGCTGGTCTGCCAGGAGCCACACGATGTGGCCGTTGTTCTGGAGGAGAATGATGTGGCACTGGTGGGTGCTGCACCAGTGCTGGAGGAGGTCATGGCACCAGAGCTGGATCCAGAGCTGGAGGAGGCTGTGGCAGAGGGAAAGCCCTGGAAGGATCAGCACAGCCTGGCGCCAGAAGTGAATGGCAATGTGGATCACAGCCTGGAAAAACTGCGGCAGCCGAGTGCTGCCAAGTGGCCAAAGGCGTTGCGGGACCTCTACCTCCAGTACAGCCCTGCGAGTGCTGCCCTGCACCGCTGCTGGGGACAGGAAGGCCATGGCTCCTGGCTCTGCAGTGAGGCGGCCACAGCCCCGACTCCATTCGTCCCGGAGGCCCAGCGGTGGCTGCGGCAGGCCAAGAGTGACCTGCAGGCAGCCCACAATGACATCAGGCATTGCTGCCCCAACTGGGTCCTCTTCAAGGTGCACCAGGCCCTGGAGAAGGCGCTGGTGGCTGCTGTACTTTGCCATGGTGAGACCTTTGAGGGCCAGCTGGGCCTGGTGGGGCTGGCCCAATGGCTGGAAGCGGTGGAGCCAAAGCTGAGGGGCCTGGCAGAGGAGGTGGAGTGGTTGCATGGCTGTGGCATGGATGACAAGGCCACACAGTACCCGAGTTACCATCCCCTCCCCATCACCCCCAACGAAGCCTTCCACAGCGTGGATGAAGAGGAGGTGCTGAAGCGGGTGCAAGGAGCGGTGGGGAGGCTGCAGGACCACGTGGGCGGAATGTGAGGATGTCCCCACAGAGGGGACACAGGCCGCCGGGCCACGGATGTGACGGATGCACTCAACCCCCTTAACCAAACTCACAGCAGCTTGGTGCAGGCTCCGGAGAAGGTAAAGTCCTGAGCCATGGCTGGGCCGTGAACTCCTCTAGTTTCAACCTGTTGTTTGAAAACCCACCACAGATCAGAGTGACAGAGAGAGCACTGATGCGTATGAGCTTGGGACACCGATCGTGCCATGAACTCATGAATAGCGGGTGGCTTTTTCAAGACTCATTTATCAATGAACAAAGAAAGTTGTGGGTTCAAGGGGTCTCCTATCTCATGTCATGTAACTTGCCTATGAGCCAACCCCTTCATCCCATAAATATCACAGCCTAAGTGAGCCTTCTCTGAGCTCTCCCGGCGAGGCGGCATGGCTGCATGGCGGTGATCTCCCCTTGAGCTGGGACGCCCCTCAAGGTTGCTCCTTGAGGCAGAGAGATCTTTCACCAACGGCAGATCTTCGTTAAGTGACCGATATCACACATAACCCTGTAGTATGATAACTTTGATTTTGCCTTTGTAACTTTGAGTGCATGCTGAATTGATGTTAATGAAATATTAAGAATACTCCTTTAGACATAAACCAAACTATTAATGAAGTCTGGAGCTAAGTCTAGATGCAGCCGCATCTAGACTGCTCTCTGAGAAGCAGTTTAGAAAGCAAGGGGGTCCATTCTGAACCTCGTGACTCCACGAGGGGGTCTCCCTTACCCTTTTGTCTCTGGTCTCTCTGTGAATCATTCTAACTCAAGTGTAACTCAATTTTCCTTTGTATGTTTTTTCTGTGTAGTAATTAATAGAGGGAACCTTGCCATCAGACGTTGTTAAGTCACACTTTTAAAACATCATATTAAATACACTTATTCTGATGCCTTTGACAGTTGTTCTTTAAGCCATCCTAAATCACTCATTTGTGACAAATTGGCGTAGTTGGCAGGATCCTAAAACAGAATTCACAACCAATCGTTGTAGTCGTCAGGATCCTAAATCCCTAATTCGTGACAATGGGACCACCATGGTCCCACGAGAGACCCACCACGGACCTGTTGTAGAGTCACCATGGACTTGCCACAGACCTGCCACAGGCAATTCCAGACTGTCCAGCCCTGCCTAGGCCACTGAGAGCCATGGGGTAGCACGTGCCATTGGCATGCCTTGAAAGAGGGAGAAATACAGTACAATAATAAAAGTTGCAGTGCTGGTAGACCCTTCACTAACAGCGTGGTCAGGGGACATGGAGAGGTCATGGCTGACTGGATGTGTGTGGAATGTGAAGGTGGCAATGAAGGGGTTTAGAGGACTGTGGTGGGCTGACCTTGGCTAGCCACCAAGCTGCTCTATCACTCCCCCTCTTCGATAGGACAGGGAGAGAAAATATGATGAAAATCTCATGGGTCATAAGGACAGGGAGATCAGTCACCATTTGCTGTCACAGGCAAAACAGACTTGGCTTAGGAAAATTAATTCAATTTATTGCCAATTAAACAGAGTAGGATAATGAGAAACAAGAACAAACCTAAAAACACCTTCCCCCCATCTCTCCCTTCTTCCCGGGCTCAACTTCACTCCTGACTCTTTCACCTCCTCCCCCGGAGCTGAGCAGGGGCACAGGAAATGTGGGTTGGGGTCAGCTGGTAACACTTCATCTCTGCCTCTCCTTCCTCCTCACGCTGTTCCCCTGCTCCAGCGTGGGGCCCCTCCCATGGCAGACAGTCCTAAACTAACTTCTCCAGTGTGGGTCCTTCTCACGGGCTGCAGTTCTTCCAGAACTGCTCCAGCGTGGGTCCTTTACATGGGGTGCGGTGCTTCAGGAACAGACTGCTCCAGCCTGGGCCCCCTGTGGGGCCACAGGTCCTGCCAGAAGACCTACTCTTGTGTGGACTCCTCTCCACAGGCCACAGCTGCTGCCAGGAGCCTGTTCTGGTGTGGGCTCTTCATGGGCTGCAGCTCCCTTCAGGGCATCTTCATCTGCTGTAGTGCGGGGTCCTCCACAGGCTGCAGGCTGGACACCTGTTACACCGTGGTCCTCCATGGGCTACAGGGCAACAACCTGCATCAGCATGGTCTTCACCACAAGCTGCAGCGGCATCCCTGCTCCAACACCTGGAGCACCTCCTTCCCCTCCTCCTTCACTGACTGTGGGGTCTGCAGCAGAGTTGTTGCTCTCACATATTCTCACTCCTTCCTCGCAGCTGCTGTCGCACAGCAGTTTTTATATCTTCTTAAATATGTTATCACAGAGGCGCTACCAACATCGCTGATTAGCTCAGCTTTGGCCAGCAGCGGGTCCATCTTGAAGCCAGCTGCAACTGTCTTTGGCTGACATGGGGGCAGCTTCTGGTGTCTTCTCACAGAAGCCACCCCTGCGGCCCTGCTGCTGCCATAACATTGCCACATAAACCCCTATACAAGGATGATGAGGTGGTGTCAAGGGGAGCATGGAGGACTCAAGCAGACACGAGGCACGTGAAGTAGCAAGAGAAGCATGAAGTTTCAATCAGATGGAGACATCGGCATAGGCCCAGAGGCCATCACCAAAGTCAGTGTTTGATTGTGTTGGCATACGGAGATGAAATGTCATGATAGGGATCATGACTCCAGGGGCTGCCAAGCTGCCATGGCATCATCTCCAAGTGTTGGGTTGTCCCTGCCATGAGGTCAAAGGGCAGTTCCTGGGGACACCAGATCATCTGGTTGGGCCAAAACTACACAACTAGGATGCCATGCTCAGTGCTGAAGGCTCGCTGTCAGGTGCCCTGACCCTTGACCAGCTGTAGAAGGTGGAGGCTTATGTGCCTTCAAGGCTGGGAAGACCAAGCACGTGGCTCCCATCTCTCTTGTCTGTGGTTCTCCCCTGTGGTGAGCATGGGATGCAAGAAGGAGCTGAAGCCAGATGTGATGTCAGTGGACAGCATGTGTGAGCTTCTGGGGACCACAGAAATGAGGGGTGGCTTCCATCAAGAAGATGCAGTGCTGCCAATCAGCTGGGCCCTCTGCACTGGTGGCACCAGGACTCTACATGCAGGACAGGCATCAAGGCTGTGGCTTCCCATAGAGGCTGGTATGGGAGCATCACAGGATTCCTCTGTGAGGCCCTGTGCCATGGGCTCTGGGTTCTCTTGCCAGCTGGGTGGGAATCTTGATGTTAGAGCAGGAAGAGGGTGCTTTGACCCTGCATGCCTTTGCTCTCCCATGGATGAGACGAAAGTGGCGGGCTGAAGGAGTCCTGAACACCTGGGTCCTCTTCTAGCTTGCAGGGAGGAGTTCCGCATGTCCTGGATGCTTTGGCAGCTTGTCGACAAAGTGTCCAGTGGGAAGAGAAGGGCAGGGTGCCTGCAAACCTGGACACCTGTGTTTGCCAGCCATCTGTGGAAGTCCAGGAGTTTGAGCATGGAGCATGTCCCCATGCCTTGGTCAACTGCGTTCTCTCCAGGACTTTGGATATCTGGGTCCTCTTCTAGCTAATCAGCAAGTTGCGCCTCCCTCTGAGAAAGGCATGCTCCGATTAGCATCGTAAGAGTAGTAAACATCGTTCTTCACCCATCCTTAGGCAGAGCTTGATATATTCCAGTTGCTCTCTCACATAAAGACCTCCACCACCTCGCCTTGCTGGCCTATCTTTCCGAAGAAGTCCGTAGCCATCTACGACAGCATTCCAGTCACGCGAGCTGCCCCACCATGTCTCTGTGACTGCAATGAGCTCGTGGCCCTGTGACCACACACAGATCTCTGCTTCTTCCTGTTTATTCCCCATGCTGCAGGCGTTGGGTTACAGGCCTGAGGTAAAGTGACCACGCAGGCTTCCCTGGAGGGGTGCAAGAGGACCTGCCATAGCCATACCTGTCCTTAAGGTGGTTGGCCTTCTGGTCCACAACTTGGGAGGCAACTAAGGAACATTTGTCTCTGCTCAGGTTGGCCTGGCTTATTCCCCAGTTGGATGCGATGGCTTGAACATCGAGACATTGGACCCCGCTCCCCAAGTACTTCAGGTGAAAGCCTGCCACGCAAAGTTGGCCAGTCTGCTGCCAACTGTGCTTTTGTAGCTCCCACTTAAACCAGGGAGTCCTCACTACATGCTGATGGCAGCACACCTTGTCCTTTTCTCGGCAGCTTTCAGTGCGCGTTGGGCGCAGGTCCTCGCACGGGCTCACGCCGGGGACGTGCCCAGCTGGAGCTCGTGGCAGCGCAGCCATGACCTACGACCACTTGCACCCAGAGCTGGACAGGGATGAATTCCACATGCCATGGCTGTAGCCAGACCGGAGGACATCAGCAATGCTTGGGTCAGCTTGCTGGCTGCTCGTAGGACAACAACAGAACACAGGAGATGGTGCTCACCCTGCGAAGCTGGCCCCACGCCCCAGCCCTTCTGCAGCTTGGAGCTGCCAGAGCCAGCAGGACTCCCTGCAAGGGAGCAGGCTTTGCCCTGGGGAGGAGAGCAGAAACAGCCCCAGCACTGTCCTGCAGCCATCATGGGACAGGAGCACTCAGGGGCCACCTCTGGGTTGGGGGTTGGGGGATGGACCCACGGCCGGGCTGAGGCACCCCATGGAACGCTCACGGATGGGTGCTGGCACAAGTGGATGGAAGGGATCCGCTCATGACGCATCTCTGCGGACTCCCTGAGGAACCACGGATGGCGACAGGACTCTGCCCAGTGCACTGCTCATTCATTTCATTGTATATCTCAGCACAGAAGCGTGCTCAATCCGCCTCGAGGGGCAACGTAAGAATTCCCCAAGGTTCCCCATGAAGCTGCAGTCCCTTAAGGGGTTGTCCCCATCCCCTGCTGCACAGCCGGCACCGCAGGTCCCGTGTCACAGAGGTGCGATGCCATGGTCTGTGTTCCTGCCACAACCACCAGCGCCCGACGACAAGCACGACGCAGCCCTTCTCCACTGCTGCCTCGGACGCGCGACCCAGCCCTTCTCGCCTGCATCAGTCACAGTCTGTGTTTCCACCTTGGTGGCATCATGAATCACTGGCAGAAGACGATGTTTGTGCTGTCGGAGGTACAGCCCCGCTCCACCAAGGGGGGAAGCCCCCACTGCCCGGGGCAGGCTGGAACAGGCACTGCAGGGATGGTGCGGGGTGAGGACCCCGCTCTGGGGAGCTCGGGGGGCTGGGAGCTTGGCTTGCCCTCTCCACCCACCCCTGCGAGGCCACGGGCTGGGAGAAGCCCTTCTGGGCTGCTGCTGCCCTGCTGAAATCGAGCATGAAATTGAGCATCTCTGCCTAGGGGGCACCCGTCCCTGGGCTCGTGCCGCAGGGATGCTCCACAGGAGCAGCCGGGTGCTGCCCGGAGCCTGAGCCGGTGCCTCCTCTGCCCCTTCCCAGGCTGGAGCCATCGGAGCCAAGGCTCACCGGCCCAGCATCAGGATGCTGAAAAGACACCTGCGCAGAGTAAAAAAAGCGCGGGTTCCTGCGGCTGCAGGCCATGGCCCGTGAGGACTGGTGGGTGCTGGTGGTGAAGGAGCCATCTGGCCTCCAGCCAGCTCTTGCTGGGGCCGTGCCCAGGGGCCCCATTGCCCCATGACTCTCCCTGGGTAGTGAGAGGGGGCAGGGAACCCCCATCCCACATCTCTTCTCAGCTGGCCAGGGCAGGACCAACACACTTCTCTGCTTGGCTTTCGGCTTAGGATGTGCCAGCTCATGCTGGAGGCTGCGGAGGTGACTGCCAGCAGCATGGGAGTGGAGATGAAGGTGGATGGGGATGGTGAGATGGAGCTGGAGACAGAACTGGAGACAGACCCACCAGCAGCAGGACAGGCATGTGCTCCCCATCCACTGCCCACGGTCAGGATCAGTCGCCTGCTGCCGGGCTGGGGTGGTGGGCCCCGCCGCAGGGACAGGGCACCCGGTCCCCTCGTCCTGGCAGCACAACTGCCAGCACTGCGCTGCCCTGAGCACCCGTCACTTTGGGGAGGGAGCGATTCCTTAGGGCCAGGCAACCCCAGTCTAACCCTAAGCCCAGCCGGCAGAGTCCTGCTCTCTCCAGCGTGTCCCAAGGCTGTGGCAAATCCAGTGCCCAACAGGACGCAGCCCAGCCCACAGCAGCTGCTGCCGTGGAGGCGGCCAGGGAGCCCCCAGGTCGGCTCAGCGAGGTGCTGCTCATTAGCCAGGCGGCCGTGCCGCTTCTTTTCTTCCAGGGCTGACGGAGATGTGGGGCTTGATGGGGCAGGAGTCAACATTAGAAGAGGAAGACCTTTTTTCAGACCCAAGCTCTCTGTCTCAGACTTGCATTTGCTTTGGCACATGCGGCATTTCCAGAGTTGTGGTTTCCGCTTGCTCTGGGTTCCTGGTGCTATTGGGCAGAAATATTTAGCTCACTGTAACGCTTAGATCACAGTGATATAGGGCAGAAATGCTGAGGTCGTAGTGACATTGCTTAATTTAGGCCTGACTACTTTGTATAAACAATGCATGCCTTACTAACACTTCTGCCCTTGAAGAGGAGCTAACAGACTGATCACAGGGGAACATCCAGTCCAGAAGGTGCCGAAAGATGGATGATTGCTGGAGAAGTATGAAGTTAACAAAAACCCGGGGTAACTAGGAAAAAGGTAAAGGCGGCAGGGGGAGATCACAACCACCAACTCAATTCAGAACCCAAAAGACCTCACCCCCCCAGCGTGTGAGCATGCGTGGTTAAATGACAAAGGAGTACACCTTTAAGATAAGCACATAACTGAACCAACCAGCATGCAATGAGTCATTGCTTCGGTTTTGTAAGAGTATATAGTCCTTGTGACTCTGCTAAGCCGGGTACGAGCTTTGTGGAATTATCACCTAGCACCCGTATCTGCGCAGTATGCAATGAAGAGAATTCCTCCTCTCTCTGTGTATCTTGGCATACCGCACCTCGGGTGAATGATCCCACTTTTGGGACACCACCACCTGCTCGGTCAGCTATGACATCACCGAAAGCTGCAGAAGGCAGGGGCACGCTCCTGCCCTCGTGGCTCCAGAGATACCAGTGACATCAGAAGCACCTGCAGAAGCCAGGTGTCCATTCATCCCTTAACAGCTCCCAAGCCATCAGTGACATCAGCTCTACAAGCCAGCTCCTGCTCCCACCCTCAGCCACCTGGGACATCACAAGCACTCGCACAAGCCAGGAGCTGGCTCCTGCCACAGCTACTCTTCCGGCACATGGGACACCAGAAGCAACTCCGCAGAGAAAGTTCCTAAAAAGGGGTCTTTGGAGGCTCAACGTGAGGCTTTGGACACCAAACCAATGAAGCTTTGTGCCCTAAAGATGCACCTTGAACCCTGAAATGAGGCTTTGGGCCCTCCAAATGCAAGACTGGATGCTTCAAAGGAGAATTTGTTCCCTGAAAATGAACCTTTGGGAGCTAAACAGGAGGCCTGGGGCCAGAAAAGGAGACTTCGAACTCTTTAAAGAAGGCTTTGGACTCTAAAATGGAGGATTTGGACCTTCAGAATCAGACTTTGGGCCTTCAAACTGATGCTCTGGGACCTTGAGATGAGTTCTTGAACCTTGAAATGCAGGGCTTGGAACTGATGAAGGGAGGACTTGGACCCTAAAAATGATGATCTGGTCTCTGAGACTCAGTGGCCTAAATAGAGGCTCGGATCATAAAAACCAGGGTTTGGACACTCCAGATGCGGCTTGGAGTTAAAAACGCCTGTCTGGATCCTAAAACTCAGGCTTTAGAGCCTGAAAATTAGGCTTTGGCCACTAAAAATGCAGCTCTGGACTCTCAAAAGGAAACTTTGCAAACTACAGCTGAGCCTTTGGACCATAAAAAGGAGACTCTGGAGCCTAAAATGAGGCTTTGGAAGCCACAGCTAAGAATGTGCAAAGTCCAAATGAGGCTTTGGACACTAGAAATGTAGCTTTGGAGCCTAAAAAGAGGCTTTCTGCCAGGAAAAATGAGCATTGGGACTCTCCAAATGAAACTGTAGGCCCTAAAAAAGGGCTGTGGGCGATAAAAGACAGATTTGGACCCTAAAAATGGCAATTTCAGCCCTAAAAAATGGGGCTCTGGGCACTAAAAAGGATGGGCTAGATGCTACAAATGTCACTTTGGGCCCCACAAAGGAGGGGAATCTGATTCTTGGTTCCTCTATGGCCCCCAGAAATGGAGCTTTGGTCCTGAATACAGGGCCTTGGGCACTGGAGTGGAGGCTTTGAGCTGTAAAAGGGGGCTCTGGACCTTGCAAAGGAGAGCTCGGACCCTCCAAAGGAAGGTTTGGGCCTCAGGAATATAGGGCTTCGGGCCCTAAAAATGGGGCTTTGGAAATGAAATTGAGGCTTTGAACCCTGAAATCAGGTTTTAAGCCCTCACATCATGCTTTGGTTTTTAAAATTAGGGCTCTGCACTCTAAAAAAGGGTCTTCAGAACCTCAACATGAGGCTTGGGAAACTCAACAGATGAGACTTTATTCCTCTAAATGAGGAGTCTGGATTCTGCAAGGAGGCATTGGAAGCTAAACATGAGGGTTGGGTCCAGAAAAGGAGCCTTTGGACCCTATAAAGAAGGCTTTAGACTCTAAAATAGAGGCTTTACACCTTAGTAGACTCTGTACCTTCAAAATGGTGTTTTGGGCCCTTAAGATGAGTCTTTGAACCTCAAAAGGTGGGTTTGGAACTTAGACATGAGGGTTTGCACTCTCAAAATGAAGCTGTAAACCCTAAAGGAAAAGTCTGGACTCTAAGGATGAGTCTAGGGGACAAAGCGCCGCCCACACCCCATCCCTTGGCAGCGACGGACTCACGATGGAGGACGGCGGCCCTCTCGCAGGGCCGGGCGCTGGTGGTGGTGGGGCAGAAAGCAGTGCAGAGGAGGTGCCAGGCAGCCTGGCTGTCGCAGCCCTCGTGGAGGCAGCGGCACCCAGTCTCAGCAGGGCGGGCAGCATCCAGAAGGAGATGATGTGCAGGAGCTGTGGGGATGGGGGAGAGCATCAGCCCTGGGACCGCCCTGCTTTCAGGGGGAGACCCCAGTCCCACCATCTGCCCATACGCACCATCTGAGGGAAGACCCTGGATGGCAGCCATGTCCTCCCCCTCCTCACCACCCCTCAGGCTGCTGCAGGGTCACTTGGGCTGTGGGGAGGGATGTGGCTGAGGTGATGGCGGGCAGCCCCGCAGCAAGCTTCACCCCCCACCCATCCTTGTCCACCCCACCTCCATCCTGGCAGCCTCACCGTCACATCCTAGTCTCAGGCGGTCGGATGCCAGCAGTGATGGTGGTGAGAAGCCCATGGCTGCCTTACACGAGGCCTTACAGAGAGACCAGAGAGCTGGACAATCCCCAACCGTATGAAATTCAACACGAGCAAGTGCCGGATTCTGCACCTGGAACGGGGTAGTCCTGGTTAGACATACCAAACTGGGGGGCAAGAAGCTGGGGAGCAGCCCCGCGGAAGGAGCTCTGGGGGTCTGGGTCGATGGCCAGCTGACCAGGAGTCCCCAGCGTGCCCTGGCAGCCAAAGGGCCGGCCGTGTCCTGGGTGCACCAAGCCCAGCATCGCCCGCCGGTCAGGGCAGGGGATCGTCCCGCTCCGCACTGCACTGGTGTGGCCCCACCGCCAGCACTGGGTGCAGCTTTGGGGGCCTCAGGACACGAAGGGCATCAAGCTATTGGAGCGTGTCCAGGGGAGGGCGGCCAGGATGGGGAAGGGTCTCGAGGGCAGACCTGAGTCCATACTTTTTTGGTGCTATTCAAACGCTGAAGCCAGCGCACCAGCTTTTGTTTCTTGCGCTGTTGCTCTCTCCTTCCCCTGAGGGTTGCTGTTGCTGCCTAGACCTCCAGCCAGGGGATCTGCACAGGCGCCTTCGTGAGGGTGCGGAGGGTCCTACTCGGAAGCACTTCATCAGTCTGACCTGACCAGAGCTTCTGTTGTGTGCTTGGTGTTAACATCTTCAAAACTGTAACTTCTCACCTGGGTAGAAGTAAGTTGAAATTGCTTTTTTTCAGAAAGTAGAATAAAAACTAGGAGGAGAGATGGGGCTAACATGCATGCAAACCAGAACCAGCGCTGAAAAAGTTGCAGTTTTATTTGTTTAGTTATGTTAGCTTTAATTGTGCGGAGCTCCATCTTTGTGTCCTTTAATTTTGTTTGAGCAGCTGCCCTAGGCTGAATGTGTCCCAGAAGAAGCATTATGTTTCAGGGATTATTAACTTCTTGTTTGGGCTTCCTTTTCCAAACACAGTTCTCTCTCCTTGCCTGTATTTTGTCTCCAGAAATCATTTCCCTGAAATAATGCTTTATAGATTCTAATATGCATCATAGGGTGAGGTTTGACAGCACCAGCTGAATGGGAGAGGAATATAGGTAAGAGGCAGGGAGCAGCCTTGCCCAGAGGAGCTCATCCCATTTCTCCCAGCCATGAGCTGTGATTCTTTGTCTTTTGCTGGGCAGAAATCCTTCCTTTAAGGCAGAGAAGATCAGAGGTCTTGTTTAGACTTTGATCAAAAAAGATCGAAGTTACATACACGTTTGCTAACATCAGCTAAATTCAGTTACTTTCCTAATCAGGAGGATGCTAATGAGTAGCCACCGAAATCTGATTATCAGCAATTGCTCTCCAATTTTTTTCATTTTTCAATACTGTGTGAGTGGGTGAGCCTCACGAAGACCCTTCTTCAGAGTTACTGAATATCGGAGGTTTTATTAGTGACAACCACATTTGGATATTCTGAGTTAGTTACTGACAATACGGTATGTATCTATGTTTTAATGCAGACACGTACATTCACTAAGGGGAAATCAAAGTTTTGAAACAGGTAACCTATGAATCTCACACTCTTAAGAGATGCAAGTGCAGTGTCTCATCATGGGGTAGCAGCTGCTGAAATAAATTCAAATCACAATTTTGCTTGTGTTTGGCATTCTAAACGTCCTGAGGGTCTTTCATAAAAAATCCAGCCCCTAACAGCCCACACTTCCTCAGGAAAAAAACGTGTTACTCAAATCTTCTGTGGCCCCAGAACTATTTCTTAAATATTGTATACCATGGTAATCTTTACACTCAAAGGACCTCTGATGGTCTCCTGATAATCTTTTTCTTGCAAAGTAAGTGTTGGCCCTTTCACTTGTTTTAACACAAGTCCTCTTCCCTGTCTTTATGCAATATTCATGTGTCTGAAGGAACAAGAAACACTTGAATTGTTGAAAAACTAAAACTCTTTAAAAAAAAAGTTAATCCATTTGTAAGAAAAACGTTATTTTATCCGTTTTACTTTGTTTTGTTTCTGCCTGCATGAATGTTAAATCCCAGTGAGATTATTTTGCTTCACTTATTTTGTTTACGTGGATGTTTTTCTATGCTTGTACATAATCTTTGGTCTCGTGTTCTTTTGATGTTGGTTCCGTATTTATACATCCCAACCTAGGCAAAAGTTGTTCTGCACAGTCATTAAATACAACTTTGCATTATTTTTGGTTTCTCATAATCCCCAGGCCCCGAAGGAAATGTAATTTGGAATGAGGGACAGTGTTTTTCTGTCTTCAGATAGCTGAAGAGGAAGGTCAGGCTTTGCTGGGTTAATTCAATTTGTATCCATCCATCCATATTCACATTTCTAGTAGACCTACCTGTAAGACTCCCTAATGGGAAGACTCAAGAATGGACAGAGTTTAACCCCTCTTGTATCTAGAAAAGAGGAGACTTTACGGTGCTTTCTCTCTTGGCTGGTTCATGAGTAAGGAGATGCTATGTTCTCAACTGACCCTTGGAGGCTGAGCACTTCATTACTAGAGGTATTTCTGCAGCACAGACTTTGTTCCTATTTTATCTTATTTTTTATCATTACTAGATGTTTTAGCGTGTGTTGCTATTCATTTCTCATCTCAGGTCACAGAAATTGTTCTTTTGTCTCTTCAGGCAGAGCAGTCCGTAGCAGAGGTGACAGGGGCTCAGAGTAAGCTGAGTGCTGAAATAGCTGATCTACGGCTTGCAACAGCAAACATGAGCAGCATCAACAAAGCTCTTGCATTGGATAAGGTGCAACTGAACAAACTCCTGCTGCAGGTGAGCAGAGTTGCCCATTGCCTGGTGTTTGTCTCCAGCTGCTGCTTCTGCTCACACTTCTTGCCCGCAGACAGAATGACTGACTGTGGAAACGTTCCTTTTGCTGTCCAAGCCAAACCTACAGAGTAGATCTTACTGTATTTTATTTCCTCTGTGTTTCTGTGATTGTAGCTGGAGCACGAGAATGAAGTTCTGTTAGGTAAAGTGACCGAGATGGAGAGAGCAAGGATGTCTGACCAGGAGAAGCTGAACTTGTGTAACAGAACCAATGCAGAGCTCTGCGCAGAGAAAGCCCACCTGGAGCGGCTGCTGAAGAAAGCAGAGGAGCAACAGGACATCACTGCAAGGAGATTTCTGCTCAGAGCCTGTGCAGTGTGTCGGAGAAAGACATATATTGAAAAAAAACAGATAAAAAGTCTTTGCATACAGTACAAAAACTAACAGGAACAATCTAAGGCTATGCGGAGACTGACGAGGCATGTTGCGATGGAGCGCTTTGGAAAAGGAAGAAATTTTACCTGCTCATCAGGCTCATCCTGCTTTTCCAGGTCTACGACTGACCCCATTCACAGAAACCAGCACTAGTTTCATCCCACCACAGCTTCTGCTGAGGAACCCACGGTAAACACTGTGCTCCGAACTCTTCTCTTACTTCAGGACTCATGTCTTGAGCCACGCGCCCTGCCACAGTTCCCCCGCTACAGCAGGTCCCAGCTTGGCTCTGGCCAAGGCCTTTTGCTGGACACCGGTCCTGCTACCTCAGGCCATCGCTTCTGGCGGATCTGGCTGTTGAATGCAACGGCTGTCTCTCAGGAGACTGATGCTCCAGAGATGTTAGTGCCAAGTTAAGGTTCAGAGACCGATCCAGCTTCCGAGTCTCTGCCTCCAGAACAGCAGCTTTGGGCTCCCTGACCACCGCTGCCAAGGAGTGAGACAGCTCTTGGTGAAGGTCCGACAGCTCCTGGCTGGTCTTTGTGCAGCGCTCAATGTACTCCTGCTTGTATTTTCGTTCTTGTGCCAGCTGCGTCTGCAGAAGTGACACCTGAAAGAGGCAAAAGGTGAGCTCAGATAAGCCCACGCTCTCAGGGCCATCTGCAGCTCCACGGTACCGGCTGTCAGGGGAGACGCACCCGCAAACACCAGCCCTGACAAACACTGTGTCCCTGGGGAATGGGAAGTAACAGGCTCCCAGAGTCACCCTGAACCGAGCTCAGATTATCAACAATTCCGAGTTTCTTTCTGGCATACCATTCACCCGTACAACACCGAGACATTACATAGGTATTAAAGAGAGAGGTTCCTACAGGATTTAATAACCCATCTCTTTTTTTCAAGAGAGACATTTGGGCTGCTGACACCGAAGTTCCACACGCTTTTTCCTCAGCAGGAGAACTACTGTGTTATAGAAAAAATTAGCCAAAAGTTAAGAAGAGTCAGTGTTTTGTGTTCTGGTATACTACTCATATATTTATATATGTGTTTGTATCACTAACTGGCTTAGCATTAGTGGCTAACTTGACTGAAGACTGAGGCTGCACGTTGTGCCACCTGGATACGGCAAACTTTCACCGACTGACAGCCGCAGGGCCTCTCTGAAGAGAGGGGAGACAATGGAGGGGCCCAGTGAGAGACACAAGCTCCCAGACCCAGATAACACCACTGGATCAGCAGCTGCTTGGACATCACGTGGAGCACTCGTGTGGGGTGGGAACCGAGATTGTCAGGGTGCGATTGCTCAGGAATTTCTTTGGGGTCCCTCTCCAGAAGCACCCAGCTCGAGCTGTTTTACAGTGCTGTATCACTCAATAAATTTGTCTGGTGTATGTCATGTCAGAGACTCTCCTTTGGGAAACCCAGGATCGAGCCTGAGGGATGAGGAAGCGCCTGACAGTGAGTGGGTGTGGAGGAGGTCAAAAAGGGGCACCCGTCAGCTCCCCGGAATCACCCGCTGCGAAGGGACTCTGGTCCCAGCCATCAAAGTCTTGGGTGGTGTGTGTGATTTCTGACAGTTCCAAGTTTCTTTCTGGCACACCATTCACACGTACAACACCGAGACATAACGTGGATATTAAAGAGAGGTTATTACAGGATTTAGTAACCCAACTCCTTTTTTCAAGGGAGATATTTGGGCTACTGACACCGTAGTTCCACATGCTTTTTCCTCAGCAGAAGAACTACTGGTTACACAAGGCAGTGAAGAACTGTTCTGTTATGATCTAGTTTAAAAACTTGACTGCTAGCACCTGAAAAGGGAGCAACCTCTCATTTTGACTAACTTCAGAGCATTTCACAAATGTGCAGAGCATAATTTGATGAACAAAGCCCAGGAGGAAAGTGAGCCTTAGAGTACTGCTGAGGCCTCGAAACTCCTCAAATTCTACTCTTTCCTGACAACCCGGAGTTGTGCCTCTCTGTCTTTTTGGTGGGAGAGACCCAGCTGCTCTCACCTCCTGTTAGGTTTGCAGCGCAGTGCAGCCACAGCAGCTCTGGTATGTTGTCCTCTGCCTGCTCTGGAGGGGAGGAGATGAACATGGAAAGTAAGAAGTCAAAGGGACTTCACCACAACAAACAATATACATAGGCTAGTGAACACCGCTACTGAAGAGAGGGATAGATCTGACCCTCTCTCTGACATAATGAGGACATCTTTGTGCAATTGGGCTTGGAAGTCTGAAAAACCCTTCCATGCTAGAGACAGGAGTGGGAGAGGTGGCCATCTGCTGCTACAAGCATCTCCCATGAAGTGGGAGACCAAGTTCCCATTCCACTGTTTCCCAGTGCCAGTTTAGGAGTGCCCTAGCTAGCCAGTTGAGGACTATTCTTGGAGCAGAGCACCTTCATTTTCCAGCCAAACTGCTGAAGAAGGTCCACAGCGCAGGCAGATGCAATAGTCACAAGGGGAAGGGGGTTCAGATAGTTATCTGCAGCAATGGAACTTCAGACACTGAGGCTTCCTGGTGAAAACATCCTGAAGATAGACATGGCTGGCTTCAGCAGTATTCTCGGCTCACTTGCAGAGCTAACCATCGTGTACTTTACCGACACAAATATTACACGCGTTTTGCCCTGAACGCCTGTGAAGATTCACCTCCTCAGGGAGACCAGCGCGTACCAGACCTGTAAAAGGACGTGGAAGAGAAGTCTGGCGAGGGCTGCTGCTGCCACCACCACTGTCAAAGGATGCCATAGGGTTCAGTAGTTGCAGATGTCCATACAGTGCTTAGGTCTCTGACTCAGTCCAATACTGGGATCATGATCAGCACAGCATAGCAATACGCAACTAACGACTGCCTGAAGGATGTAAACTCTGGCACTGCCTCAGATCCCTGGAGCTCTGATATGATGCAAGCTCCGCTTAACAGAGTCAAGGGAAAATGGAAATAGTCAACAAGATGAGTAAGACTCAAGGGGAAAATCCTTTGAACAGTCTCTAGTCTCAGCTGAGTTCCAGTTTTCTAATTCCAATCCCTCTCCCACCCTGCCTGACCTTTAGCCAAGTCAGAGACTAGACCCCGGTGAACGATGTTTGGCCATGGCCAACAGATGGGTCTGACTGACACTGCCTGCTGTACTCACTTCCTGACAGCCAAACAAAACTCGGGCTGTAGCATCATGCAAAGGTGTGCCCATCAGTATGGCCACAGGAGCTTTTGATGAGAGCTTCCTACTCCTCACCTGGTTCTGTAACTCAGCCAGTTGACGACTGCAGCACGCGTGAGACTCCTCCTGTGAAGAAAATGCAAGGATTTCTTTTTGGTCTCCAGTCTGGTCAGGGCCATGGTCTAGATTTGACTTCTGTTAGCTCTCTAGTAGGGGGCTGCTGCCACTGGGATTTGCCATCGTTCCTCCATACAGCCAGAGCCTCCTCCCATCAAGCCTGTTCTCACCTGTCTAGAAGTAGGCATCTTGTGCTGGTCAGACTTGGACAGAGAAAATCCGCTTGCATCCGGCAGCGACCGACCACCACAGTCTCTCTTCAGCCTCCTCCGCTCACGTTCCACCTGCACGTTGGACAGGAGAAAGGGTTACAGAAACTTGCCACCAAACAAGGAGCAAAAGGGCCTCTGAATATCACGGCAAGGAGATGTCTGCTCAGAGAGTGTTAATTGCACCAGAGAACACTGAGGGTAACACTCAGTGTAGACTATGGAAGAGGAAGAGCAAGCGGACACAGTTCCTGACACAGCGAGTCAAACGTGTGTCAATGGGGACACTGGGGCAAACAGAGTGGTACCGGAGCACATGTGCATTTGTGAAGGCAAAGGTGAGCCAGAAGAGAGAGAAAATACAAAACCGTGTTGTCCGCAGGGAGAGGTGGAAGAGGGAAGGAAACGAGCAGAGGACTCCAAAGCACTGTCTGTGGAAATGTATTGTGTTCCAGAGGACCGCGAGGCCGTGCAGAGGCAGCGAAAGCCTGGTTTACCTGCTCAAGAGTCCTCCTGAGCTCAGCATTGAATTGCTTCAGCTCACTCTTGTCAAGTTCCAGCCTTGCAACTGCTTGCTGCAGACGTTCCAGCCGCTGCAACAGAAGTCTCTTCTCCGAGAGCCACGACAGCTGCTCCCCTTCCGCAAGAGCCTGCTGGGTATTCAGAGAGGAGATGATGTGAGCTGGTGCCACGTAAAGGTTAAGAAGGACAGAATCAACACATCGGGGAGAGTGACAGGACTTGGACTTGGTGCTAAGTCCCTTGTTCTCTCCTGGTCCACAGGTCAAAACAACACACTCTTTTTCCTAGTGGCCCTCCCCCATATCACCTTGGAGAAATCCACACAAATTTGCCTTCATGCTTTTTGGACCGCGGCCCAAGGACATCCTGAATGTGCAACGAAGCCTTCAACCTGATCAGGCAATGGTACAAATTCCATTGTTTTTAACACACCGGAAAAGCTGTACCTCAGAAATCCACATCTCTGGGAGCATCCTCTAAGCACCATCAGTGTAGCTGCCATTCAGCCATCGTTATAAAATCCTACGAAGTTTAGTACATCAGTCTGGTCAGCTGTGCCCTTTCCTTTCCCTGACAAATGCTAACCATGACACATTTGCTAAGCTTGCCTAGACAGGAAAGAACCAATTACCCACCCCCAAGTTTTGGACATGAGATGATTTTAATGGCAAGCTCTGTAGTTCTTTCAGTGGTTCTGGGCTTAACAGAAAACATTCTAGCAGGTGAATGGTCTCTGGCCGGAGCCATATAGACAGGCAAGCCTGCTGGCTGCAATCATGGATTCTTTGGCCAAGCAGGTCATCTGCTTATGGGGATATATGGTCCCATATCTTTACGGAAAACATCTTTAGACACCTTTATAGACATTTGAGTTGCCTGATGATCAGTCATAGTACCTACCTGAAGATGAAACCGGTCCTTGTCCCTCTCTGAAACCATACTCTGCAGGATGGCTATTTCTTCCCTCAGAGTCCCGTTGGCCGTTTCACTCTCGGTAAGGGCAAGAGTCAGTGCTTGTGCCTTCTCCTTCCATGTGACTTCTCTGCTTTCAGTATGCTTCAAAACAGCAATCACATGCTCCAATTCTTCCCCCTTTGCTTTCCGCTCATCTTCCAGTTGCTGGGTTAGCTCCTTCTGCCTTTTCAAGAGATGGTCTCTCTCCTGGAGAACTTTCCTCTTCTCTGCTTCCTCTTCCTCCCATTTTTGGAGTTTCTGGATTTGTTTCTTTAGGGCCTCCCCTTCATCTTTCCATCGCAAAGTTGATGTTAATTGTCTCAGGAGTTCACTCTGCCTCCTAAGCTCTTGTTCTCTCCCTGTCAGAGTCTTCTCTAAATATCTGACTCTGTCTCTCTGGTCCTTGATCTCTTCATCCTTCTTTGTCAGAGTCTGCTGAACATGCTGGAGATCTTCCCGAAGACCTCTGATTTCCTCTTCTAACTCTTTTTGCTCACCTTGAGCCTTGGTCTCTTGTTTCCGCTCTGGCAAGTCTTCTTCCAGGAGTTTCTCTTGCTCTCTGTGGTGTCTAACCTCTTCGTTCTTCTTGGTTAGACTAATCTGGAGATTCTGCAAGGTCTTCAGTTCTTCTTCTTGGCACTGGAGTTTCTCCATGAGAGTTTCATTGTCTTCATCTCTCTTCCTCACCACTTCCTCCAGCTGATTCACTTGCTTCTGGCATAATGTTAGTGTTACTTTCATGCTTTCTTCACGAAGCTGGAACATGTTAATTTGCTCTGCCTGCCTGAGGAACTCGAAACGGTGGTTCTTCACTGTTTGGCTCATTTTGTCTAGATCCTGTTGCAGACTCTTGACCTGCTTGCCTTCTAACTCCTTCTGCTCTCGAAGGCCCTGGATGTGCTCTTGCAAAGACACTATCTCTTGATCTCTAGTTTGTAGCAAAGACTCAGCACATTCTAGTTTTTGCAGTGTGGCTTTAGTCTGCATTGCTGCCTCATCCTTTTGCTGTTGAAGCTTAGAGATAGCCTCCTCCAGAACCTCTATCTTTCTTTCTCTTTCTTTCAGAGTCAGTTTTGTAGCTTGAAGATTGATTTGCGTAGCTTCATGCTTTTCCTCCTTTTCCTTGTATGCCTCGCATTGCTTTCTAAGGGATAAAATTTCTTGCTCTTGTTCCTTTAGGGCCACTTGAAGATGCTGCAGAATTTCCTTCTGCTGTTCAGAGTCTTGTTCTTGTTTTTGAAAGGTCTCAATCACTTCCTTCTGAGATTCAATCATGAAATCCTTTTCTTTCAGTACTGCCTTAGTGTATTCTAAGTCTCTATGCAAGGCATCCATTCGTTCTTCTGTTTGCTCCTCATAGTTCCGTGCTTGTTGCTTTTGGATGTCTATCAGTCTGTCCTTTTCTTTTAAGGTTTCTAAGGTCTGCTCCAGTTGGTCATGGACAGTCCTTACCTGCATTTCCATGACTTTTTCAGCTTCCTGGATTTGCTTTTGCTGTGACTCAAGCTCTCGATCTTTTTTAGATAAAGAAAGTGTCATCTTTTCTACTTTACCAAGAAGCTCTTGCAAGTGGCCCTCGTGCTGTTCCTTGGACTGCTGCAAGAGCCTCAACTGATTCCTCTGGGAATCACACTCACTCTCTCTGTCCTTAAGAACTGCCCTCAGGTGTTCAAGGCTTGTGTGAAGAGATTTCACCTGTTCTCTCTCCTTTTCCAGTTCTTGGATATACTGAGTCAGAGACACAAGCTCTGCATTTTTCTCCTTCAAGTCTCCATTCACATGATCAAGATCCACAAGCATATTTCTCACTTGTGAGGTACCATGTTGCTCTAGAATCTGTATTTTCTCCTTCTGGAATTTGATCTCCTGGTCTCTCTCCTCCAGCTCCTTGCTCATCCTGCTCACCGCAGTCCCCTGCACTTCTCGCTGCTTCTCCAGCTCCCGTATCTCTTCTTGCTGGGATCGGATCTCCTGGTCTCTCTCCTCCAGCTCCTTGCTCATCCTGCTCACCGCAGTCCCCTGCACTTCTCGCTGCTTCTCCAGCTCCCGTATCTCTTCTTGCTGGGATCGGATCTCCAGGTCTCTCTCCTCCAGGTCCATGCTCATCCTGCTCACCTCAGACCTCTGCACTTCTCGCTGCTTCTCCAGCTCCCGTATCTCCTCTTGCTGGGATTGGATCTCCTGGTCTCTCTCCTCCAGCTCCTTGCTCATCCTGCTCACCGCAGTCCCCTGCACTTCTCGCTGCTTCTCCAGCTCCCGTATCTCTTCTTGCTGGGATCGGATCTCCTGGTCTCTCTCCTCCAGTTCCTTGCTCATCCTGCTCACCGCAGCCCTCTGCGCTTCTCGCTGCGTCTCCAGCTCCCGTATCTCTTCTTGCTGGGATCGGATCTCGAGATCTCTGTCTTCCAGGTCTTTATTCATTTTGCTTACAGCAATCCTTTGTTTTTCTTGCTGCTTCTCCAGCTCCTGTATGTGTTCTTGCTGGGATTCTGTCTTCTGGTTTTTCTCTGTCATGTCCTTTATAACCTGATCAAGAGCAGTTTTATGCATTTCTTTCTGCTTTTCCAGCATTCTCATGCGATCCTGGTATAACTTAATTTCTCCCTCCCTCTGTGACATGATGGCAGTCATATGAGTGAGATTCTGCTGCAAAGCTTTTACCTCTGCTGCTTCTTTCTGATTTTTCTTCTTCTGTGTTTCCACTTCCTCATTTTTAATTTTTAAGATAGACAGTGTAGTTTGGAGCTCTTGTTCAAGGGCGTGTTTCGTATCTGTAGCTGTGTTTGCTCGGGTTTCAGAGGCTGTGACTGATTCCTGAAGAAGTTTTATCTCCCATACCAGTTCTTCTTTAAGTGCTTGCAGTCTGTCCCGTTCATGCTGCAAAACAGGGAGGAAAAGACTCAATAATTCCATCTATATGTGTTTGGTTTTCATACTAGATTTGAACTCCTGCTCCAGTGGCAGTCAAGGGCTGACGTTTGAGCTTTTCTTTGAGGTAAGAAATGGCCCTTCACAGCATCTGCCAGTCTCACCAGGACATCCCTTCTTTGCTTCTCAGTGCTCTCGAGTTTCCTTTCCAAAGATGCCACCTCCTGATGCAGAGCCATAGCTTCCTCCTTTAGAGCAGCGGCCTCTTCCTGCAAGGCAGCTTGAGAGTTCTTCATGCGTTCTGCCATCTCTGTCTCTACAGCAGTAAAGGTGAAGGTGAAAAGCAAAGCAAAACCAAACTGATTTGCATCCTACAGAGAAAACATAATTTTCTTATCTGCCTGTGTTTTCCAGGCCCTAAGCCCACAGCGCCTTTTAAAGCACATATAAATGAAGGAAACTTCCAGACAAAGGAAAAAAGACTGAAAGTGGCAGGGTCAGAAGGATATGAAAATGTGTTTGCTCTTCTGCTTGTTGAAAGGCCAGGGCTAAGGGCATGGCAGCACATCACCCACAGTGCTAGAAGCAGGAAGAACCGACATCGCTGAAACAAGGACAGGGACAGCAGGTAACAGTCGACTCTAATGTCCTAAAGGAAAAGGAAGAAGAAGCAAAAGTGAAGACTGACTATGACACAGTTAATGGACCAGGAACACTTAAGAGACATTAGAGAACAGAACAGATGTCAATGTTGTGCTTGAGGATGCACTTTAGTATTTGTCCAGAAGAATGCTAGGAGAATATGTTGTGCACTGGCAGACAACAGAAGCAGGGAAATATTCAGTGTTACCAGGACAACAGCAAGGCAAGAACAACTGAGCATCACACCAGTACCGAGACCTGAAGCAAGAAGGACTACAGATAGACAGGAACTAAAACTGAACTGAATAAACTAGTAGACAGGAACTCAAGAGGGAAAGAACTGACCAGTGGGACAAGCAGGATCCAATGGCAGAATTTAAAGTATATAAGCTGTTGTAATATGTAACATACATAGTAAAAACTACAGATGTTACAGAAAAAGGGATGATCTAAGGCCTGGAAAACTCCCCTGTAAAGAGTCTGAAAAATGATCAGCAGTTCCATCTCAGAGAGGGAACGTGAAGAAACACTGAACAGGTAAAGGCATGACGTGAGCAGACAAGAGCCTGTGGGGGAGGCGATAAGCAATGCCCATACTTCCTTGTTCCTGCAGTCTGAGACAAGGAAAATAGGAAAATGAGATGAAAATGCAATTCTGATGTGGAGAGTGGAAAAACAATGATAAAGAAAGGAGCAGGGATGCCTGTCCAGCTATGATATAGAGAGGCCAGTAGCCCTGGCGGCTCTGCGATGGCCTGGAGGTTAGAGGAAGAGGTGACTAGTTACATGTGAGCAACAGTTTATAGATAAACCCAACTTGAACTATGTTACCAAAGACATAAGTAAGAAGTGACAAGGGAAGTAAGAAATTGTGTTTGCTGTGGCTGTGAGCACATACACCAAATCAGTATCAGCAAGAAAACAGGTAAGAAGGATGCAAAGGCACTAGGCACCAAAGAACTAGGAAAAGCAGCAGAAGAAAGGATGAAACAACACAGGAGCTTAACACTGAACTAATGCTCTGTGAATCTGCCATGGAAGAGGAAAAGGAAGACAATAAAAACAAGGCTTTTTGCACGCTGGCGCTTTTAAAGAGCATATGGAGAAGGATGCTGTGAGGCATCAGGCTACACCTACGCCTACAGAGCAGTGACATGTGACCTGAAGGCACCACCTCTGCACAGGTTTCACCACTAGCACAACCAGACGCACTGCCAGCCACCAGATCTTTCTCTATGAAAAGCTTTCGCTGGTAGTTCTGTAGATAAGTCTCGTGCTTGTTGTTTTTCCCCTCCTCCCATCTCCAGGCACTGCACTTTTCTTCTGCATGGTATCAGAGATCCCCACTGGCGAGACAGGATAGGGTCAGTGGGTTGGAAAGGAGAAGCTGTACCTTCCTGGTGGTTTTTAGCCAACTGTTTCTGCAGCTCTTGATTGTGGGCACTGAAATGATCCCTCTCAGCTTGCCTCCTGCTCAGCTCCTGCTCCAAGTCCTGTATCTTCTTCCTCGCATCATTCTGGAACAGGTAAGAAGAGAAACATTACTTCACAGAGCCACTGCTGGCAGGAGACAAAGAGGGACAAACACAGGGCAGAAACAGCCAAGGCAGAAGGGGGCAGCTGGACAGCACTGGCAAATGTGATCACGATTGTCCTTTCTCCCCATAGCAGCAAGCCAAACTGGCCTGTAAGAATTTACACCCCTTCTGGCTTTGGCACTCTGCTTGTCAGTTCACTCTAGCAGAGGGACAGGATTTCTGGGTGCACCAGAGACACGTTACCAGATCTTGCTGAATCTGCTTCAGGTGCTGACACAGGTCTTGCAGGGCTGCTGCCACTCTGTCCACTGTGAGCTCTGCAGGGAGGTCCCTGGCCTGAGAAACAGTCAGGCCCCAGACATGACCCTGTTCTGAAGAGAGAAGCCATTCTGTTTCAAGCTTTCCTTGAAGGGTCTCCAACAAACAAGGCCTCTTTATGCACAGGAGAAGGTGGCAGCGCCTTTGACATCATCCTAGAGCTTAGATTACAAGAAGATGTGTGTCATAGGCTAACGTTATTTTGATGACCACTAATGTCTGTGCTGCCCCAAGAGAGAATGCACATGCCCTATGACTCGACATGACTTGGGCCCTGTTTCATTTTGATGCTGGTCATTTCTCCACACACAGACATGAACTTGTCTATCTACAGGGACGTCAGGCTTTCAAGACTTCCCAAGGCCTGAATCAGCCTAAACTGAAAGGATGAGTCTCTCATATTGGGACTGCGAGAACCACCCCTCCCTCCACCTGCTCTCCTGTAGGCGCTCTGTAGACTTGTTAACCCAGCCTCCCACACTTGCCTGAACTCCATGGGACTAAGTCTCTGCTGTCACAGATCACGCGGTGGAGAACCACGTGCAGCTCATCCAGCTGGGATCGGGCTTCGCAGTGGGCACTGTTCGCCTGCTGGCACTCTGTGGCCAATGCCTTCGCTCTGTTCTCTGTGCTACAAAGCCTCAAACGCAGTTGAGACATCTCAGCCTCCAGCATGTGCAAAGAGTCCCTTGAGCACCGTTCGCCTGCTCGGGACTCCTCCAGATCCTGCAGCAGCTGCTTCTCTCGAGTTGCCAGGCCAGCCTCCTTCTCCAGCACTATGTCCTGCAGTGACTGTATCTGTAACACAGATGCACAGAGAGTCAGGGACAGTGCTGCTACCGAGGCAGCACAGTGGGAAGCAGAGGAAGGAATGAAGGAGAAATTGCTTCAAGCAAAAACACACTGGAAACAGAAGGCACGCAGCCAAGGATTCAAACTGAGCAAAATAAGCTAGAAACAGGTATCTGGAGGCTAAGGGGCCAAAAAGAAGTCTCCCCATTACCAAAGGACCGGTCGTTCTGTCAGGCTTTCATGCCTTCCAACCTCAGAAATGAAGCTCTGTGTGTGTGAGTGAGGGTGAGAGTGGGTGGGTGGCAGGGCAAGGTGGCAGATCAAGCATCCCTGCATGGAGAGCGGGGCTGCCAGGGATTCTTAGGAGTAGAAGGGGAGACAATTAGCATCCTTGGTGGTGCGTCTCCAAACTGCCAGATGAACTGGCTGAGGTGGAAGCACCTTCCACAGACTGCAATAACCACTGTTTCACCAGATTGCTCCGTGCAATGAAGTGTAGAAACACCATCTGGGGAAACATTTGTAACAGAGGTACTGAGAAGCTCCAAAGGAGTCCTCTGTTTCTTCTCAGAGATTTAATGCTGTGAACCATGAGAGAGCAGGGGAAAACATAGGCAGAACACAGCAGTTCGCAGCCTTGACCTCAATGGGCAAAGTCTCTGGGGAGAACACAGAAGGAAGTGTTATGTTGCAGAGAGGGGAAACAAGTTGGGGCCTAGAAGCTGCAAGTGGTTTTCTGTGACCCTGGAGAAGAGGATGCTAGTGCATAGGTCACCTGGTTGTTGAGCTCTTGTATTTCTCTTCTGTGGTCTGAATGGAGCTGCTGGGCTTGGTGAATAGCAGAAAGAAGCTGAGACACCTCGTTGTGCTGGGCAAGGTTGTCTTCTTCCAGGGTTCTGAGGCTCAGTTCCTTCTCTTCCAGAGACAGAGTCAGCCTGAAAGAAAGAGCATGCAACTCATTACTACATGGTCTTAGGACTTCCACCACCAAGGGGAAAATTACTTTGTCTGCTGCGGTTTGTCTAAACAACTCAGCTGCTCGTTCAGTCCTCAGGCAGGTTGGCAGTCACACCCAGGCATGTGCCCACCACGCCTACTTCCACAGAAGAAGGCTGAATTACTGGGTAGATACCCGATCATTTTTTGATGCAGCAATGTGAATATAAACATAACGAAGTCTTGAAATGAAGACGTTAGGGAAGAGGAAGATTTTTATTTTGACTAATGAGACCCCAAGGGAGAGGTTTTGTTGGTAACGAAGAGACATTTTCTTCCTCTAGCTCATATGTCCTAGTAGGAACAGCAGCAACTGACAGCCAGGTGATCGCTGGGGAATTGTGTAAGACTTGCCAGCACCCACTACTTTCAGCTAGAGAAACGAAGGCCGATATCAGAAGTGGTAATGGAGGCTTGGAGGAAATACTCAGATCCTTATATAAGATGCAGGATCCCTCATATGGGAAGCAAGACTGCACTGCCTTTTATTTCTCTCCTTCAGTGAAGGCATGTGTTGAAGACTGGCAGGACTTTACCAGGTGAAGTAGCCTACCTACCCTTTCCCTTCTCTCTTGCATTCCTTGGACAGTCAGTAACATCTGTAGCTGTTGAGGCCGGCAGAGACCCTGCTCGAGCCCCTCTAGACACCTGTTGGGATTTTTTGAGAAACGAGGAAACAGATGGCAATAAGATATATTCCTGTTTCTTGGGTGCCTGTCCTGGTTTTGGTTGGGTAATTTTCTTCCCAGTAGCTGCTATGTTTTGGGTTTAGTATGAGACGAGTGTTAATAACAAACTGGTATTTTCAGTTGTGGCTAAGAAATCAAGGACATTTTTCAGCTTCCCATGTTCGGCTGATGAGCAGGTGGGTAGGAGCTGGGAGGGAGCACAGCCAGGCAGCCAGCCCAAGCTGGCCATGGAAATATTCCATACGATGGACGGCATGTTCAGTTTACGAATGGGGGTTGGCCAGGGGGCAGGGACCCTTTCTCCTGGTTTTGATCTTTTCTGTGAGTTTGAATTTTTTTTCTGCGAGTTTGGGGAGTTCTGTGAAATCCGCAAGTTTTGTGATCGCTGCTCAGGGACTGGCTGTGCAGTCAGTTGTCGGGTGGTGAGAAAAATTGTATTATGTATGGCTTGTTTTGCATATTCTCTTACTATTGTTTTCTTTGTCTTATTAAACTGTCTTTATCTCCATCCACAAATTTTACTTTTTGTCCATTCTCCTCCCCGTCGCACTGAGAGGGGGCAGGAGGGAGTGAGCAATGGCATGGTCCTAGTTGCCGGCTGCCAGGTCAAACCATGGCCGTGTCTCAGAGGGGAATCTGGCTTAGTTCAAAATCAAGGTTTTAAGCTGGCTTCTGCCAACGAAAGGTATCAAGACGGAAGACTGATACAGACCCCAAATATTTAAAGTTTGCTGGACCCAAGGTAGAGCTGACGAGTGTATCTAGCTCATTGTACCACAGCTCATCCTGTCTCCTCTGGTGTGTTTCAGGTTTGAAATCCCTGAAAGGTTCATGTAACAGTATTAACAGGCTGACCTAATGAAAGAACACCTCCTTTCATGGAAAGAATATTCCAAAAGCCATTGCCTTCAGAAAAAACTGTAATGGAAGGACTGAAAGAAAAGAAAATGAAACACAACATGAAGAGAATAAAATGTACCTGCATGGATAGTTCAGAACTCTGCACTCTGCTGAGTGCTGCCAGAGCCACTTGTATATGCAAAAATCTGAAAGAAGGAATCCATTAAACAGAATGGAGTCTCACAGGCTTTCATTTACCTTGCTTTTTCACTCTCTAGGACCTTCAATGAAGCCTGAAATTCGCTGTTGTGATGCTCCACTTCTTCCCGTCGACTCCTCTCCCCCTCCAAAGACTGCAGACACACTTGCAGCTCCTTGTTCTGATGTTCTACCTCCTCCCATTGACTCCTCTTCTCCTCCAGGATCTTCTGGAGGTGCACAACCTCCAGCACCTTCTGCCTTGACAGTTCCTGTGCTTCACTCAGATCTTGCTGAGCTTTGCGGCGAATCACTTGCTGGGACTCTTCGGAGGCTGCCAGCTGAGACATCAACTCTTCCACCTCGAGCAAAACATAACAAAGCAGTCAAAGACTACAGCCTGTCACTGTCAGCCGCATCACATACTGTGAGGAAAGGAAAAGAACAACTTTAAATTTCACCCTATTATGAGAGTACCAGATTCATAACAGATACAGCCAAATTGTTGGAAAATCTAAGTGGGTCACCATGTTTCTCTGAAAAACCACCCTAAAAAGCAAGGCTAGCAGTAACAGGCCAGCAGAAACCCATCCTGATGGTGACTAGCAAGCAGGCAAAAGGACTAGCCCACCTGCCCAGAGCAGCAGCTGCGACTCAGCTGACCAGTAAGCCTCCTTCAGACCAGCCGAGACGGAGGCCACAGTATCCTGGCAGTCAGAGGGATCACCCCACCAGCCTGCTGGGCATTGGCAAGGCGAGAAGGGCAGACACCGCTTGGTTGATGACTGGAGTAGCTATTGCCATTTCTGTCACCTGTTTTTGTAGAGCATCTCTCTGCTGAAGAAGGATATTCATTTCCTCTTTGATGGTTTTGATTTCTTCTTTGTGCCTCTTCTCCTCTGCCTTGATCTTACCCTGAGTTTCCTGCAGCTCTGTTTGAAGCCTTTCTGTGGTGTTCTGGAAACACAAACGGAGAGCAAGCTACTGGGACCTGCCATGAGGTCCAGCTTTTTCCTCTTTCTGTCTCAAAACCACATTCGTTCAGCTACTTCCTTCTGCTTCTCTACCCAGCTCTGCTTCCATTGTAACCCTTCCTTCTTGTTGCTGATCTCTGGAGCTTACCAGGCTCTGTGCTTTCATTGCCTACAGCAGTCCTTGCCTCCTCAGTCCCAGGAGTTCTGTTTTACTTGCTTGTTACTGCCCTTCATGCTGCTACCTGGTGCGCTCTGCTTATGTCCAGTTGCCAATTGCCTGTTCTTTCAAACTACCCTACTAGTCAGGCTTACCTGCCCGTTTTCTTGCTGCTCTTTCACCTCCTGCCTGAGCTGCTCTAGCTGCTGGCAGGCTTCTCTTAGCTCTCCCTGAGTCTGGAGTAGCGTCTCTAATAAAGCATTCTTCTCGCTCTCCTTTTCTAGCAGGACCTGCACAGAAGTAAAGAGAAGACGAGTTTAAACTTACCACACAAAATTTGTGTGGCAAGACTCAAAGGCTGATGGGCTCACACATTCTCAAAGCACCGGGCTGCTGGTCTCCTAAGTCGTTATCTGCCCTCTTGGAGACACAGCTTCCTAAGTGAGACTGCCAGTATCAACATGGTCCATCCACTGTCCCTCTGTCCAATCTCCAACAGACTCGTACTCATCTAACAGGAAAATGTGTGGCATTTCTCCAGTGTCTCGCCTTGGTGGTGAGGGTATTCCTCATCTTCTGCTGTGTCCCATTTGTCTTTGAACAGTGACTTTTGCACCTAGTTAGCAGTAGAGAAAATGCAAGGCTCCCAGAGGGCTGAAGCTTGCAGCTCCTTCAGAAAACATATTCTAGGTGGGGTTTGCGGAAAATTACTTCCGTTTTATGGTATTCAGCAGACGCTGGTAAAGTACTGACATCACAGGGACACACTTGTCACCTCTGAGCACTGCCCCGCCATTTCAATACCTGTATACACAGTTGGGGGTACTGCTGTCCCTCAGCCGGCGGCATCAAGAGGACTTTGGGTAGGACACAAGTAGGACTCTCGGTGTATGACAGGGTTGCTTTGGCACAGGAGAGCTAGGCCCAAAGTACCTTACCAGCGAGTGACTTAAAACACAGCCCAGAAGACACCTCTGTTTTACTGCTCAGAAGTATTTCAGAGGAGTCTTTAGAAATATTCTTCTTTGTCAACAACCCTGCTGCACCCCTCCCTGTCCCCCCCAAACAAAAATCCCATCCTCGTGGGGATTCAGTCCCACAAACTCCGTTTGGTTTTAAGTGTAGTGAAGGCCATAAGCACATATCAGTAAATATCAAAAGAGGATCTTAAAAGAACAGTGAAGATACTCTGAGTCTTAAAATAAACAGAAAACAATAGCAGCACAAAAATCTAAAGTGCAAGGTGACATTTCCTCCTGGCTTCCTATGAGAGGTCTCATTCCTAGTCCCAAAGATAGCTCTGCACGCCCTTCACCCCACCAAATTCAATATAGAAAACATGCAGGGCATGCTCCACACAGCCCGATACCCAGCCATCTCCCACGGCTCTAGCCTTGCAGAAAACCAGAATTCTCCTTTCACAGTCTTTACCTCTTGCTTGGCATTTTCAACTCTGGTTCGTTCCTCTTCTTGTCGAGCTTGCATGGTAGCAACTTTCTGCTCCATATCAAACAGGTGCTTCTCGTGCTCCCCTTCTGTCTCTGCCTTCTCCTTTTCCCATTGCTCCAGCATCTCCTGCAGCTCTGAATGGTGTCCTTCCCGCTCGCTTGCCTGAGGAGGGGAGGAAAAGACTTCAAGATGAAGTCCCAGCCAAGCTCCTCAAAAAAATGTGATGCTTCAACCCTCCCACAAACCCCTACCCAAACGGTGCCCCGTAGTGGCTTTGTGCCCTCCATAAATCATCCTACCAAGAAACTTAGAAGGAGGGTCAGCACGGGGAAGAGAAGGAGGTGTTACCTTCCCCTCTCTGATGGCCGCCTATTTCCTAGCACCTCTCGCCTCAAGATTTCTCTCTATTCTCAGAGCCTCCATTTTCAAAGGTCACCTCCCTTTCCACGAATGAGGAGGTGCAGATGGACTGCAGGGTGAGACAGAGACTAGTGCCCTGATGCCCTAGTCACAGGACAGGCCAAAAACTGCAGTACCAGGAACGAGGAGCCTGTTCCATATGCTTCAAGCCCAAAGACAGTACCTCTGTCAACCGTGAAAGGACAGAGAGAGAGGAACAAAGTTCCTGTGACTGCAGCTGGCAGGAACGTGAGGAGTCTGCTTCATGGAGGACAGGAGAGGTGCCCGAGGACTGGAGAAAGGCCAATGTCACTCCAATCTTCAGAAAGGGCAAGAAGGAGGACCCAGGGAACTACAGGCCGGTCAGCCTCACCTCCATCCCGGGAAAGGTGATGGAGCAGCTTATCCTGGAGGCCATCATCAAGCAAGTGGAAGAAAAGAAGGTTATCAGGAGTAGTCAGCATGGATTCACCAAGGGGAAATCATGCCTGACCAATCTGATAGCTTTCTACAATGACATGACTGGCTGGGTAGACGAAGGGAGAGCTGTGGATGTTATCTACCTTGACTTCAGCAAGGCTTTCGACACAGTCTCCCATGATATCCTCCTGGGGAAGCTGAGGAAGTGTGGGCTGGATGAGTGGTCAGTGAAGTGGATAGAGAACTGGCTGAATGGCAGAACTCAGAGGGTTGTCATCAGCGGCGCTGAGTCTAGTTGGAGGCTGGTGACAAGTGGTGTCCCTCAGGGGTCAGTACTGGGCCCAGTCTTGTTTAACTTCTTCATCAACGACCTGGATGAAGAGTTAGAATGTACCCTCAGCAAGTTTGCTGACGACACCAAACGGGGAGGTGTGGTAGACACACCGGAAGGCTGTGCTGCCATTCAGCGTGACCTGGATAGGCTGGAAAGCTGGGCAGAGAGGAACCTGATGAGGTTCAACAAAGGCAAATGCAGGGTCCTGCACCTGGGGAGGAACAACCTCATGCACCAGTACAGGCTTGGGGTGGACCTGCTGGAGAGCAGAGAGGGACCTGGGTGTCCTGGTGGACGACAGGTTAACCATGAGCCAGCAGTGTGCCCTGGCTGCCAAGAAAGCCAATGGGATCCTGGGGTGCATCAAGAAGAGTGTGGCCAGCAGGACAAGGGAGGTTCTCCTTCCCCTCTACACTACCCTGGTGAGGCCTCATCTGGAGTACTGTGTCCAGTTCTGGGCTCCCCAGTTCAAGAAGGATGAAGAGCTACTGGAGAGAGTCCAGCGGAGGGCTACAAGGATGGTGAGGGGACTGGAGCATCTCCACTACGAGGAGAGGTTGAGGGAACTGGGCTTGTTCAGCCTGAAGAAGAGAAGGCTGCGAGGGGACCTTATAAATGCCTACAAATATCTGAAGGGTGGGTGTCAGGAGGATGGGGCCAAGCTCTTTTCAGTGGTGCCCAGTGACAGGACAAGGGGCAATGGGCACAAACTGAGGCACAGGAAGTTCCGTCTGAACATGAGGAAGAACCTCTTCCCTCTGAGGGTGACGGAGCACTGGAACAGGCTGCCCAGGGAGGTTGTGGAGTCTCCTTCTCTGGAGATATTCAAGCCCCGCCTGGACAAGATCCTGTGCAGCCTACTGTAGGTGACCCTGCTTCGGCAGGGGAGTTGGACTAGATGACCCACAGAGGGCCCTTCCAACCCCTACTATTCTGTGATTCTGTGATTCTGTGATTCATGGTAGATGGGAGCCTGGTGAGATCTACCCCTTTGGGACCACCCAACCTTCTGCTGAACTCGTCTTACGCCCATCCTGAATCACTGAATCTGTGGCTGACTTTACTGCCCCAGCATAGTCCTGTGGGTCTTCACACACCTTCAGGTACGAGCTATTGGCTCTGCTGCCTGGCCTGGCAACGTGGGGCCTCTGACAGGTGATTGTTGCCATTTCATACACTCAGGCTATTATTCTTCTAAAGCCAGCCCACAAGGCTTGCTTGAAGAATTCAGAAGCACATTGTTTCCTACCAGGTCTTGCAGGAGCTTGTTTATTTCCACTTCATGATCAGTTTCGAGAAGTTTGAGGGTATCGTTATACTGCTGTTCCGTCTGCAAGAGCTGCTGCGCCATGTTTTCCCGTTCCTGCTTCATGAGAGATCTCTCTGCTTCCAGCTCACATTGAAGGCACTTCACTTCCCCTGCAAACACGACCAATGGCATCGTTCAGAGTCTCACAAACAGGAGTTCTGACTTTACTGACCTCAAGCCATTCGAATTTCAGTGTAGGAGGGATCTGCCCCCAGCTCCTTCACTCCTCAGCACTGCAGACAGAGCTATTTTCATACCACCTTGCCTAGACAGGGCGATCATCAGAAACAAAGCACATGAGGTTCTCGCCTTGTATCACCTCCTTGGCCTGTGTGACCGTGTGAAGATGGATTTCAAGCTGACTCCTGGCGATCTCCAGCTGAGATAGGTGCTGCTGAGCCTCAAACAGGCTGGATTCCAGGGTCTCCTTCACTGACCTGCAAGTTATGAATATGGAGAGAAATGAGTTTCTTGCTCCTGACACCTGCGTGGAGTTATTCCAGTACAAAGTCATTCAAGATCCCTACACCCACGGGCGGAAAATGCACTGCATGGAAACTTGTAGACAGAAAACATGTTTCTACCGTTTAAAAAACACAATGCCCCTCCGAGGGAATGCCCAGGCTTTCCTTATGACCTAGCATAACACAGAAAGCCCAGCCAAATTTGATCTCAATAGCCAAATCTTAAATTGCTGTTGTCTGATCTATGACATACGGGTAGCTGTGCCCACAAAGTCTGTGCCAGCAAGCAAACACCCAGCCTCTGCTCACAGCCCTTATCTCATCAGCACTTCCAAGCTGTTCTGCAGGGGAAACAGAATACGTCCCTGGCTGACTCTTGAGTTTTTCACGCTCTTCATACTGTAGGTATAGGTAGGTAATTTTCCAGACTCCCTGTATTTAAAAGGGACTAAAGAAATACATCAGACAATAAAGTAAAATCTCATGCTTGTATCAGCATTTGTAAGAAATCAGAACTACACTTTATCTGCACAAGAACTACCAGAAAGGAGAGACAGGTATCCTTCAGTTTGAACTGTTGGAAGTTCAAGAGAAAAACTTGCTACTTTTCTTTAAGCATTGCTAAGCAAGCAGGCAGTAGCCCAAACAACGTGTTGGTCTTTAAAATGGAAGTTGTAGTACTGCAGAGGCAACTTGTCACACCCACAGACTTCAACCAACTGCTGCATATGACACATGGGATTCTGGAACCAGGAGCTGCAGTTACCTCCCTGACCTAACACCGTGTCCTGTGCGCCAGGCTCCTACAACACACAGCACTGCCTCGCTAGTACAGGGACGCCGGCAAAACAACGTCCTTCAAGGGAGAGGGACACCTGAGCGGTACAGCAATAAAACCCACGACAGCAGGATTTCATTACTTTGATGGACAATGGAGGACGTCTCTTCAAAAAGGAGAACAAGCACATATTTCTGATTACGCCAATCTCTGGCAGTCCAAAGTAAATATGCCCCATTTTAAGGACAAATAGAAGTCAGTCTCTAAAACAGCACAGAAAAGACAGAGTCCAAACCAGCAGCAACAAAAGGCTCTTGAGAACAACATCTGGCAAGAAGAGTTGCTGATTTTTCGTTATCTGTTGCCAAAGGTTCTTCATAACCAGTTTGTCTCTTTTTAAAAAAAATATTTATCCCTTCAAAAAAAAAATAGCCTAAACATTTAATAGTTTAATAACAGCCCAATGACTGACCAGACATAATTAAGCTGGATCAAATAAGAGAAGCTGGAGCTCAGAAGAAGCAGCAGCTCTCAAGAAATCCACCGAGTGAAAATGGTGTTTATCAGCCTTGCTGCAACACACTCTGGAGTGGTAAAGTGTAAAAGTCAAGAAGCGTGACAAAAAAAAAAAAAAATCTCTAAAACATCATTTGTACAGCTCTGCAGGTTCAGGAATCTTCTAAGAAACACCTAAGAGGAGGACAAATATCTCGATATTTTTAAAAAAATAAAAAAGCAGTACTTGTCACATTTGATCTTAGAAACCTGATACAGCAGCAGCACAGAATCTTGTTCCTTCCCTGTACAACTTCTCCACGACGTCTGTCTCTCAACAGCATGTGGTAAGGAGTACAGGACCCAGACATCAGCAATGGGCAAGAATCCCCCAAGACTGTTGGCAATTCAGAAGAGGTTTCCCTGCTGCTGGTGTAACCAGCTCTAGGACCTGCACCATACTTACCATACTTAACAAGAGCTAGCTTAGAGGCCCTCACGATTTTCAGCACCAGCATCTAGCTTCACCCTAAGTGGCAGCGTCCTACTCACAATGTCCGTATCTAACAGCCTTGAATGCTGAAAATCCCATGTCAAACTACTCCACAAGGAGCGATCTGTGTTCAAATGCACAGAACAAGAAACCAAAGCCAGAGAGAAAGTTCAGGTTTCAGTAAACATCTGCATGGTTTAATTCTTACTCAATTCAGAGCCAAGTTGGCTTGCTTTGGACTTCACACAGGAATGTGCAAGGGGGCATAAACATGAGCCCAAAGCTGAGGAGAGCTTGCTAGCTTTAGCTGTCAGAAAAGTAATGTTCAAATCATGGTGCACTTTAGTCTTCCATTTTCTGTGCATGGAAGGTGAAAGCATCTGAAAAGCACACAGGATGCAATAAATCCTCATGTAATGATTACCACCTTTACAATTATAGCCATCAAAAAATGTCCTGCCTAGGGTCTCCTCCCTGCCTTTACCTGGCCTCTGTCAGCTGCTCGGCAAGGCCTTGCCTGTCCCGCCGGCTGCCAGTCGCACCTCCAGGGCAGCCTTCTCATGCACCAACACCTCCCTCTCCTTGGACACCTTGGCCAGTGCGTGCCCTTGGCGAGAGGCCTCCTGGCGCAACTGCTCCAGAGCACTGCTGGCTGACTCTTGCTGGCGGTGAACCTGAAAGCAGGACAAAATGCAGGTAAAGAGTCCTTTCTCTGGAGCTCTGTATGGAGCCAGCCAGTGCCGCTCCTCAGTCAGGCAGAGGACAAACAGCTCCTGGACTGTGGGCTGAAAGTTTAAGAGCATCTGCTGCATACCACACTAATACCCTGGGCTGCTGAAAGGCACTGCCACTGTTAACTTGAAAGAGATGCGTAGGGCCCTACTGGGCTGCCTTCACGACAAACATACATACCCCAGACTACATGTTTTCAGGCAGAAATACCGAGTTTTCCAGATCTGCCACCTTGCAAACTAAAATTCTATCAGAATCTATTCCAGTGCTAGAAATTTTCATGAAGGGTTAAGGAAAAGCAACTTGGCTCACTGAAGAAAGTGAAAATACACACGGTCTCTCCTTCTAGGAAAAAGAAAAAGGATCAAAGTGTCACCTACTTTAGTGTGTAAAGCAGTTGGATGCAATGAGGTGATGCTGGGCAGGGAAGCAGCCCTTGTGGTGAGCAGTGCCGTTCAGTGGTTTATGAAAGTCTGGCTGATGTGGCCAATGAGATGGCAGACTCTGTTTGTAGTTCATGTCAACAATACAGTTGACTTGTCTTACACAAGAAGCTGTCTAATATACCTTGCTGGTATTCAAGCTTGAAGATTAACCATGATAAACTTCTTCCAGGGTACCAAAATCAGTTAGTCTGGAGTGAAGAGTCTCCTGTGATCACCTGTTTCTCATCTTCTTCCTCAAAGCTTAAAGAAGCTCTAACAATTCCTAGAATCATAGAATCCTTCACGCTGGAAAAGACCTTTAAGATCACTGAGTCCAACCACTAACCTAACACTGCCAAGTCCACCACTAAACCAGGTCCCTAAGTG